TGAAAGTGTTTTTTTTTAAGCACCAACCTTTTCTTTTTTTTGTGAACACACCGACTGACTAACCTCCTGTCTCGTGCCTTATTATCCGGCACCAACAGTCAAGTCTCTCACTGTATGTTTCAATTCACATTTCTTTTTTTTTTTCCTCTTTTTTTTTGAACACTCCGACTGACTAACCTCCTGTCGTATGCCTTATTATCCGGCACTGACAACTGTATGTTTCAATTCACCGTTTTCATTGGTTGAATGGTGTTACATAAGAAGAGGGACCCAAGGTCACAGTGTGACCTTACCTTAGTATGTGCAGGTAAATGTGTGCCTTTGTAATTGGCTAAGTTTTGCAGAAGCCTCAGGGATGTTTTTAATGACCTTTTTGTGACTTATAGCACTTAAAAGTCTTGTCAAGTGTAGACATTTATGCTCAAAAATAAATAAAATTATAGTGTCTGGTAATATTAAATTTGGAAGATCACCTTGATCTTTCCTTCGCACTGCTGTCACATCGATGGTGTGATGAATGGTACTGGTATTTAGGTTCTTATAGTTGGGCACCTTTCTTTTTAGCCCGTCTTTGTTTATAAAGAAAAACAAAAATCCATCGACAAAACAGCCATGGTAACTCATAGTGGGGCAGCTAATAATGAGTTCACTTTTCTTTTTTTTTTTTTGCAAACTAAATGTATCCAGCACATCAGTGTAGATGACTTCTTTACCTACATCTACCTCCTGCTGAGAGTTCTAACCGAAGAGAAAACAGTTGAAAGGTGCTGCCACATTACCGAGTACTTACCTTTAAATTCACTACAGTTGGCCCCTTATGATGAAATCAGATCAGAAACAGTGATCTGAAAGGAAAAGCTTTCCGCCCTTTATGCTCATTCATCTTCTTGTCTGGCTGTAATACCTGAAGGGAAGATTACAGCCGAGGCTGAGTTTCCCCGTCGAGCCTCTTATAGACGTCAGAACAAAGAGATATTTGATCCATGTCTGTAATATCTAGCCCCGACTATGTGTGATCTGCAATATGAATCTTATTCTTTTCTCATTCAGAGTTAGGATTTTTGAGATAATTATCTGGCAGTGAACTATTTTATCATTAACGGAGACTCATAATAATGGTGGTAACTAAGCAGATTTAGTCACTCTTCTTTGATTATAATAATTGATTTGAGCTGTGTTTGTGACTCTTCACATTAAAACCCAATTAAGGCACAGATAAAAATTAACACGCCTTACCGTATAACCTGATTAAATCCAGATAAAATTGAATTCAAATATTTGACTCATCAATAAACGTTTTCCGAGATAACGTATCGACGCACTTTGAAGTGTAACCCATTTTCTTTTGATAATAATTTCACAGCGCGGCTGGAAAACAGAGAGGAGTGATGGCGAGACACTGATGCAGGTCGGCATGTTAACATTTAGAGCTGTCACATAGATGTCCTGTCATGATTAATTGAGCCGGAGTTTCCAAAATTAGTAACAGTACAACTACTTGGCCCATGCCGTCCCTGAAGCATCTGCATGCAACAGGAAGTAATCAGTGTTGTCTATGGGCATCTGGACGTCTCCACCTCCCCACTGTGAACACGCAGCAAATGTCACCTTTTCATGAAGCAACTGCTGCTGAAACCGTGTCTGCACAGTCCTGCCCACAGTGAAACACAGAACTTTAAAGTTTCTGAAAATTATCTTATAAAAACGGAGGTGGCTGACTAGCTGAAGAAATAGTTAAGAAGATAAAGAAAATAACACCAGTCAATACAAATAATTTAAAAAACATCCATTATAATATTTTAAGGATGTTATGGATGGGAAGCACTTTTGTTAAAACTATTTCTTAACCTGATTTACCTCTGTGACATACAATTATATTGAATTTACTAAACGACAAAAATAAAGCTCCTGAGGTAAATCTTTTTTTTTTTTTTTTTTTTGGTAGTTTTTACAAGAGTACCACACTGCAGTGCACCTGAGGCCTTTCCTTCTGTCTGTCAGCTGTCACTGACACATCAATATGCTGGAGGGTGGGAAGGAGAGTGTGTGTGTGTGTGGCTGTGTGTGTGTGTGTGGCTGTGTGTGTGTGCATTAAGGTGTGCGGCTCACCTGTGTGCTTGCGGATGTCCTGTTGTCATGATGTGACAGCTGTCATCCAGCTAGCAGAACTGTCTTTCACAATGTGGAGATACACACACACACACACACACACACACACAGATTGCTAAGTCTGGCACAGATGTCTTTTTGGGTCCAGGTCAGAGGTGCTGGGTCATTTATACATATCTTCCCCAGTGTCAGGCAGTGGAATGGGTGTGTGTCTATTTAAGGAAATGCTCTGTCTCTATTACTTCCTGTCTGTCTGTCTGTCTGTCTGTCTGACTGACCGACCAGCTTGCGTCTATGTGAAAGAGTCGGCAGGCGGTCTGATTAAAATAGATGAAATATGAATAAGAAAGTCTTCCTTTTCTCTACATCATCTGCACTTTTGGAACAATGCACACTATTTTTCATTCCGACAAGGTTTGAATATCTTGTGTCAGAGCACTTTGACACAAAAGGCAGAACTTTTAATGAGAGGGGTGCAGTTGAAAAGTGTGTTTTGTTCCAAAGGTTTCTGCTCCCATGTATTGACAAAAGCTTAGTTTATGTTCAACTTTGTTTCTTGTTTTTTTTTTGTACTATTTGTTCTAACCCTCTCTCTGTCATAGTCTGGGTCAAGACTTTTTGTTTTGGTTTTGTTTCCTTCAGTTTTCCTTGTTCCCCAAAACATCCATCCACCTCCTGTCTCTCTCTTCTTAGTACAATCTGTTCCCTCCAACACCTACAACTTTTGCAAATGTTTCTTTATATTCTCCTTGTTGTTGCCGGGGCCCCCTGTGGGTAGAGTCCAGCTTGGTCCTTCCCTTATCTCTGTCATCTGTACATGCAGCGCCCCCTGGGATTCATCACTGCTGGATGAGTCCAGAGGATGTGCATGTACACCTGACGGTGTCTATCTACACTCCTATAATATATGTCTTTTACCTGCTGACCAGTGAGTGCAGTTATGTCGAGTCACACGTCTCATGTTTCTTACTAAACACTGATGACATCACCATGGCCTGGTGATGTCATCAGTGTCACACTCACTGGTTTGTAGGTAAATGCATTTCTGTTGTAAGAATGTAATGCAATATGTACAATATTTCCTTTTGTGTACAGACTCAATTTCCAACAAAAAAAGTTGGTACACTTTAAATTTACAACAAAAAAAAGTTGGTACACTTTATATTTAAAAAATACAAGTTATACTGAAATAGTTTATCAGGCAAATATTTAGTTGACTGATCAACATCTCACTGGTAGATATTAGTATTAGAGTATTAGAGGGTTATGCACCTTCAGCAGTGGGTTAATTTCATCCCTTTAACCTTTTATCAAATGCATGAAACCATCCACTATCTATTCTTGTTGCAGAGTCTCAAGTGGATACACCTTTTTGTAGCCAACATCTAAACCCTGCTTATCTGGGTTAACAAGTCTCTGTATCTGAGTCTGCTGCAAGAATCCCCTTTCTAAACCATTTCACTCATTTCTAATGTTAAACAATGTCAAGGTTTTTTTTCAATGGAATTAAGTGTTTTTGACTTTTTTTTATATAAGTCTACATTAAACTACAGAAACTTGTATAGTTTTTGTGACAAGCTGAGGAAGTGTACCAACCTTTTTGCAAAATGGTGTTTGTATACTTATAAATTATGCAAATATAATTTATACAATGTACAAAGTTTGACTTATATGCACTTTAAAAAAATATATAACATTGCATCTTTTCTCACTGGGGCATTGGGAATAATTATCCAATCAGTTAAACCTTGCATTTTTAAATTTTTTTTTTAAATAATTCCTCACTGGGGCATTGGGAATAATTATCCTATCAGTTAAACCTTGCATTTTAGTTGTACACAGTTGAATCATCTTATACTTTTCATCCTGCTGTAGAACCAATGCCCCAGTGACACAACAAGGTCCACTGTTGTATGATTTTTTTTTTCTCGTGAGTGTAACTGTATAAATTATATGTGTATAATTTATGCCGTGTGCACAGAGCAATCCATGTGTCTTTATCTGTTACACAGTAATCAGCAGTGTTACCCATTTTGAATTGAATCAATTTGAGAGGAATTAGGCAAATCTGTCATCACATTTGGTCTCCGCGTTCACAATCTAATTGACGAATGAGTGATGAGAGACTGTTACTAAACCAGCCAATTGGGAAACTAATCCATAAGTTCCTTGGTGGCGATTGGAGGAGACGAGAGAGGAGTTCATGAATACGAGATGAGGAAAAAAAAAAAGTTCTTACCTCACAGGCGAGGAGTGTAGCTTCTACGTTTGACAGGAACTGTAGCCCTCCCCCTAAACCTCAATTCCAACTCACAAAATAATTTCCATAAAACATGCTGAGAGAATTTGACCATTTTTTTCCCAGTTATTTTTAGGCCAAATTTATATCTTCACTGTATGGTTTGTTGAAATAAACCCAAAGTTATTTTTAGGCCAAATTTATATCTTAAAAGGACTATATCTATAGGACCATTTTCTAACATTTTAGCCCCAAAAACATCAGATGTTTTTATGACCCCCTAGAAAGAGACATTGAGGCTGAGATTGGATGCCTCTCCTGTAGTATCCAATGCGTTTGAAGAACAAGGCTACCAATTTGGTTTTGCGTAGAAACACTTAGTTGTGAAAATCAGATACTCAACTCAAAAAAAGTGCGAAAAAATTGATTTTAAAAAAGTCCGCCCCCTCAGTCCCTCCTCCTCTCCCTAACCCGGGTTTTCTATTTGTCACTCTGATTTGATTGACAGCTGAGGACACATGTGGGGGCACTGTGAGGGGCGGCAGTGGGGTGGTGACCAGTCCCGGTTACCCCGGCAACTATGGTAACCAGGCCGACTGTACTTGGATCCTGTTGGCCGAACCTGGAGACACCATCTCTGTCATCTTTACAGACTTCCAGACGGAGGAGAAGTACGACTACCTGGAGGTGGAGGGATCCGAGCCGCCAACTATTTGGTGAGTCACCGTGTGGATGTTTTTTTTTATGCTTCCATTTATTTGTGTGTGTGCATATACATGTGTGCGTGTCATGTTTATTACATCTGTTAGGTTTGTTGTTGATGTGATGGTGCCCCAAAGGTCTGTCGATCATTTTCATTCTGCACTGCTGCAAATGTGATGTGATATTTTACATCCATTTATAAATGGCTGCTGTTATGCAGCTGATATGAGTCACAGTTAAGCATCAGATTGGGAAACGACACCTGAATAGTCAGGTTTCCGGTGAAACTGGTGTGAGTTTGTCAAAGAAAAAAAAACAAGTTCAATTCCGAATCCAACCACAGGATCTGTCACTCAAATAAGTGTCAACGTTTGAAGATATAAAATACTGTGCTCTGAGCGGTTCCTTTCCTGTGTTTCCAACCCACCAACCAGATATATTTAAATAAATGAAGTAAAAAAATGCCCCAAATCAAGATTAAATTAATTTATGCTGCATACGTTCCAGAAAATATGTGTTTACAATAAATTGGCCACACTTGTTTGCTTATAGGGAGTCAATTTGAGGCTCAGATTGATTGATTTTTTTTTTCTGAGTCAGATAAAAAAGCAGCAGCGCCTCCTGGTTATCAAAAGTGCATTACATTCTAAGCATATTCCTACAAAATGATTTTATTACACTTACTCAGTTACACATAACAGACAGAGACAGATGGTAATTTTAATAGCACTCAGATGTGACATTTACAATTCACGTCGAGAAAAAAAAAAGTTTTAACCACCGTTAATCAATTTCAGTAACAATTACTTTTTATTATCGCACACACTTTTGCTCGCAGTTTTTGTAATTAAGTGATAAACCACAAAATAGTGATTTTACTGTTTAATAAAGTTTGAATTGTATGTGTTTTACACGGTTAGTGAGAATATTTGCTAAATATTCAAACTGTTGTAACTAACTATATACTATATATATATAGTGCTCAGCCCAGTTGAAGGTTGTTTATGACCAGTACATTTAGTGGTAATGTGTAAAATATGACTGAAGCTCTGGGAGACGTGGTCTCTGCTGTGAAGTTATTGGCTTCTAAAGAGACTGACGTCTTGTCATAAAGCATCTTGTGTCACGTGTCCTACAACGTGGGTGGAGTCCAGGATAGTGCTGTTGTGTTGTGTGTTTTTTTTCACTCTTCATGAAATAATTATACCAAAAGTTTGAGGTTTAATTTTGATTATTATAATTGATCTTGTTATTTATAATGGACTTACAAATAAAGGAGCAAGAGCAGCCAATAACCCAACCAAAGTGCTCCCCCTAGTTGAAGCAGTAGCAGCAGTAATGCTTTAAGCATATACATCTTATTGGAAGACAACACATCATTGTCAGTAGACCTCCATTAATGTCACATCATTATCCTTTTTTTTTGTTAGTTCATGTGTTTTCTCTGCGGCACACATGATTAGAGAAGTATATTTAAAAATGCAGAGACAATTAGTTTAAATAATTGACTTGAATGGCTTCACACCTGGGTGGTAAACAGAGACATGCTGTGGAAAACAGCAGTTTTTCTCTGTCAATTTTAAATCAAACAGGGCTTCATATGACTTTTTATGTGAATACAGAGTCTGAAGGAATAACTGGAAGGTCAGATCTGCTGTTAAATAAAAGGAATAACTGGAGGGTCAGATCTGCTTCAAGTCCGTTAAATATTTTGCGATTAATTAAAAATCCTAAAGACGGTTCCTAATTTTCCTTACATTTGATTACCGCCGCAGTGTATTGTTTGGAATTTCAACTTTATGTTGAGTTCACTGAACAGTTTGACAGCAGGTTAAAGTCTGACTGTCTGTCATTGACAGCCTACAGTACATTGTTCCCCAGAGGCTGTTTTAGCACTGGTGTCACATCAGGTTTTCTCAAGTATCTGTGGCCACAAGGAACCTGCTTTTTACTGGCTGTTAAGTCCAAAACAACATTTTGGAGAACATGAAGGTAACTTTTTGAATCTACACATAGATTGCTGGAGAAAAAAAACAACTTAACATTCTATTACATTTAAGAAAAAACAAAAAAAAATACATGTTGAGGCCCTACGGTGGAAGAATGTATCAGGGGTCATGCTTAAAAATGAGATTTTTTGCAAAGCAGCTTTTTTTCTACACAACAACTCCACTTATTCTCCACGCCTTCCTTTCCTCCAGACACGTAACCACATCTGTTTTTTTATGCAGTCCGTATGATTCTCTAGATGCTGCACGTAAGGTCTCTCAGGGAACTCTAGAGTCTCAGGAGAAGAAGAAAAAAGTACACCACGTGTTAAATAATTCACTCTGTTCTGGTTAGAAAATGATCTTTAAGTGGATCCTGAGGATGTAGAGTAATTAGTGCAGGGGATTCTGTCTTTAGACGTTCACACAGCACCGTACTCACGTACGCACAGAGTGATGGAGAGCTGGAGTAATCTGTGTGGCGCTCTGAAATGTCACAGGCAAATATAAGAAATCTATGGAAGCATGTGTTGAATACAGACAGGTGAAAAGTTTTTATTTTCTCTTTAAAAACCCTCGCTATTTACTTCAGAACATGACATTCTCCTGTGGTATTTATCATGTCAACTGAATATTGCGGCTTCATTTTAACCTGACTAAAGACCTGTCTGTAAAGTGTTAGGCCTTAAAGGGTTTAAAGCTCCTTTTCTTGTACAACTTTTCATTTTTGGAACAGATGTACAGCTGGAGATGGATCATTTTTGAAAAGCTGGCTTAAAAAAAGATCTGAATATTTTTTGTCTTTTGGATTAACTTTTGGTTTTCCTTGCTCTTTCTTACTGGTATTTCTTTGGTTATTAACATGCTTTTTAAAACTTGAAAAGCTGGCTTAAAAAAAGATCTGAATATTTTTTGTCTTTTGGATTAACTTTTGGTTTTCCTTGCTCTTTCTTACTGGTATATCTTTGGTTATTAACATGCTTTTTAAAACGTAGCTACCTCCTTAATAAGGGAATTATGAAGCAATCAATGAAAAATCTAACAAATATATGCAACAAAAAGCTTGAGTATGTAATATTGGACAACATTCTGGACCATAGCAGTCATTGGTCAAGGCAGCCATCTTTGTATATTAGGTGTACTGTGTGTGCAGGGACATTATTTATTTTATTCCTTTGAAATTACAAAAGACAAAAAAAAAAACACAACGCAATATATTATAGGCAAAATGTGTTTGTTGACCAAAAGTTACTCTGCAAACAACGCTGCATTTATGCATCACACTATGCAAACAGACTTTACTTATCTGGAATATCAGTCAATGATAAAGGCAGAAGCAGGCCGATTAAAATGACATTATAGAATCTGGTGAGCAGCCTGAATACTAAACATGGTAACCTTCATAATAATACTGTAGTATCACCAACATGAAGTCTCAGTGTAGTTTTGGATTGACTTTTAACCCAAGGAAATAGTGCTTGGTTTAAAAGGTGCAAAATTGTGTTGCTTTCATTAACAATTAGCAGTGGAGCTATTGGCTAAAAAAAAACACTTGTCTCCGACAATCAGCACAGAAATGCTAATGGTTTGGAATTTGATAATTTGCTTGATTTGTACAATTTTCACTTATGAGAGTTTGAAAATAGCATCTCCACCTGCACACTCACTAATGTGGCCCCACATCTATGTTCACCAACACACACACACACACACACGGACTCTTGTGTCTAATCAGTATGCACACAAGTGCAGCCTGGGCCTGTGAGAGTAGTATATCTCTGTGTGCTAAGTGCCAGTACGCCGAACAAGACACACACACACACACACTTCACAGTACACACACACACAAACAAGTTTTATATTTTGTTGTTTCAGAATCAGTTGCCCTTGAAACCATGTAGAGCATCCTAAATAGAATGATCCCTCCCATATCTTCGCCTTAGTCCCTCTTCCTCCCTCCTTCTCTCGCTCTATCTCTCCTTCTGCCCTTTTTGTCCAAATTCTCAAGTCTCTCTCTCTGTGTTTCCCTCTACTTCCTGACTAAGTTATCTGCTGCATTAGTCTAAAGTGTAAAGTGTAACAGACTATTTGGTGCTCTTACTGCTCGCCTCATTCCTGACAGCTCACCATTAAATTTGTGATAATGGCGCAGCAGACTATTCATAGTATGTCATTTACCAGTCTCTGTCCCATCTGCAATTGCTAAGAAATTAATTTTGTCAGTTTTGGGCTGGATTTGAAGCCCTGTCTGCGATCGCCTGCAGTCATGTCAGTGTACTCAAGGCACTTCTTTTTAACCCTCAGCAATATTTACATGCATATATTGAATAAAAAAATGTATGCAACTCATTCTCCAGCTCGGTACATTATACATACATGAGCACAATTAAAGCAGCTTCCCCTCCTACACACATCCTGCCTCCTACAGGCCTTCACCAACACTTCCACCATCACATTTATTGCGGCAACAAACACACACACAAGCATTGAATGCACTTAACAAAACAGTTGAAATAGATAAATCAAGGATTCTCAATAGGCCATAATGTACTTGGCTCTCAGGGCAGGCAATAAATCCGTCACCCAAACTTGTGATTCAGAAGAGCAGGCATACCATGAAGTTGATATAAATATAGTCACTCCAAACACGACACCTTTATAGTTGATTTTGATATGAAATGAGCGTAATCATTTCAAAATCTGAAGATCTCTGTATCAATCATGTTTAACCAAATGCTCAACTCTTTTGTTATTCATAAAAGTTGCTGCTATTGACATTATCATTAGTGTTTTGTTTGTAGTATTTCTGTAGTAGGTCTGAACCCTAGTGGTAACTGATGTCTCCTCTTCATATTAATGGCTTTTTTCAGGTCCTCCAGTTTTCTTCCACAGTCTTAACATGCAGGATTAGGTTCATTGTTCACTCATTACTGACCACTGGTGTAGATGTGAGTGTGAGTGGTTGTTTGTCTCTGTACGTGGCCCTGTGATGGGCTGATTAACAGTCCGCAGTACAGCCTGTCCTT